TTGCGAAGTAGTTATATGGACAGACAGTACTATTATAGTGGGGGGGGGGGGGGTACGTCAGTAAAGGGAGAAATTGTATATACGTAGAGGGGTCACAAAATTTAGAACGTATAGCCTTTAGGGTAATGACTCGTGGGAGACAAGATAAAATATAGTTTAGTTTGGTTGTTAAACGCAAAGCTAAACAATGGGCTATCTATGCTCTTCCCACTACGGGTATCTCAACCCGATTTTTACCGTCGTAAGCCTGCAGACTTCCGTTGAGCCACTAAGGGGCAAGATAGCTCTGATATGCTATTCTGAGTTTGAATCCGAAATGGCTAATTTAAGAAGAATGTGGAAGAAAAATTACATCTGCTGTTTACGTGATTTTTATGACAAATTTTAAGCTTATTGGTTTCAAGTTCTTCGACCACTTTCAGCGTTTAAACCGTGACTTATAAAGTATTATGCTGCATACAGCCAAAATGACGTGTTCTGGTAATTAACACAAGGCCTCTTAGGCAGTGACTTGTGAGAGGCAAAAGAAAACCTGATATGCTAGTTTTACACGCTTTTGAATCCGAAATGGACAAATTAAAAATAATGTAAAAAAAAAATTGCAGTTCATGTTATTTTGATAACGAATTTATTAAAATTACCATACTGACCCGAATTTAAGGCGACCTTATTTTTCAAAGACGAAAAATTCTTTCTTTTGAATGTAAAAAATATACATTACACCTAAGCATTAATAAGACAATACTGTAAGGTAGATAAGACAAATTCAGCAGAGAATGTGGAAAATTTTACTTTTCTTTTATCATCGTTAAAGGGTGTCAGCGAGCGATACAATTTTCTGATCTGGTAAAGCTCTGGTAGTTTATTTTAACGGAAAAATCCAAGTTTTTATTACAATATGGTAATCCCACAAAAACCTTTACATATTTTGTAGCCTGATGCACACAAAAGAAATCGACTGAGCATGTAAACTTGTCTAGAAACTAAAGGTGTGGCGATACAGATATACGATACGAGTATCGTTTCGTGAAGCCTTGATACGATTGTATCGATACATCGTCAGATACGATTTATGTATGTTCACAACATTTGGCAAGCTTTCAGTAAACATTACAAGTCTTTTGTACAGAAAAAATCATAATTCCTAATAAAGAATTTTTACTAAAAATTAATAATTCAATAAAGGAAGATGAATATTGAGTACTACATGTTGTTTTCATTTCTTTTAGCAAAAACATTACATGCAAAGTAACAATAACAAAATAGATAGACAGATATTAGTTTTTTATTTTCATTTCTTTTAGCAAAAACATTACATGCAAAGTAACAATAACAAAATAGATAGACAGATATTAGTTTTTTATTTTACTTCTCTTGCCAGTTGCCACTTAGTTGATCAAACCTGAGAATTTGAAAAATCACTGTAGAGTGTGAAGTACTTACATAAGATAATGTTAGTAATATAGATAATTCGTTTACTTAAATTATTCATGAATTTCCGATTCCCCTAGCGGCAGTGGTCTTAGATAACAAGGAAACAATGGAGGCATTTTTTTTCTAACCTTCAAGTGTCGCTGTAACAATAAGCAGAGAATACAACAATAAATTATCATTTTCTATTTTTATACTCAAGAGAGAGACGGGATATGTTTTATTATTCCATTATATTTAATACTTAACTGTGTTGTAACACATAGGGCTATTGATGTATGTCATGATATAAAAGACTGTTTGGTTTAAATATTAGTGATTAATTTATATTTGTGAGTGAATACTTTATTATTTCTAAGTTTTGTTATAATAAGAGTTAAAAGCAGATGATTGTAGAAGGTTTTGTTAATAACTAACTGGTGTCGAGAATATAGAAAGTGGCCAGACGACTATGTAATAAAAGATATAAATAGCGTGAGACGAGCGGGAAGCAGCGGACAGATAGTATTAGACAGATTAAAAAATCAAAGAGAATATAGTTGGTGTGAAGTGAAATAACGTAGATGTGATAGGCCTAACGTTTAATATGTTAGAGTGAAACTAACAGTATAAAAAAAGATACGAAGGATAATTTTACTCCGTCAAAACGTGGTTCTAAAGTAATTGAATAAACCTGGGTACACTTTGACAAAAGGAACAGGAGATCTTCAGAAGAAAGAAGACCAAACGAATTACGGTAACTTGCGCCACAGCTGTAAGTGAATCACACACAAATACTAGTACGATAGTAATATTGAGAAGATAGTTCGACTTGTCAACTGAAATTCTAAAGTAA